ATATTACTTAAATATGTAAAGAAACCAAACAGTTGCCTGATGACCAGAGTCGGTGCTAGTTACCTAATAATTTGGCCGATCCCTGGAGCTCTGAGCTCACTCGTCCTGCTGCACTGTCGAGTATGGAATGATGGGTTAATGCAGGCACATACTGACTTGAGTTTTGTTTGTAAACTTGTGTTTGTGTGCTTTTGTGCAGGTCTATCTGAGCCTACCTGCAGGCCTGTCGATGACTGAAGGCCACTGTCTCATCTGCCCTCTTCAGCATCACTGCTCAGCCACGAGTCTGGATGAGGACGTCTGGTCAGAGATGAAGGTTTGCCCATCACTTCATTCAGCTTGTTGCTTACCTGCAGTGATCAATGCTAAAATTAAGCTTGTCCTTATCGTTGTCCACAGCTGTTTCGACAAGCTTTGGTGCGCATGTTTGAGTCTCAGGAGCTGGACTGTGTGTTTATGGAAACACACATGAACCCCCGCAGAAGGCAACACATGGTCCTCGAGTGTATCCCACTACCGAAAGAGCTGGGTGACATGGCGCCTATATACTTTAAGGTCTGTGTGCAGCATGTTACACGAATAGGATTTGTCACATTTGTTGGAAACTGTAGGGTTGTTTGTCATTTATATGTTTATATTATATTTGTTTTGATGGGTTCAGAAAGCAATCATGGAGTGTGATGAGGAATGGGCCATGAACAAGAAGATTGTTGACCTCTCTTCAAAAGACATACGGAAATCTGTAAGACTTTTTTATATTCTGTTATTTTATATTAAAGTAGTCCCTCACTTATCGCGAGGATTACGTTCCAGACACCCAATAGGGGAAAATCTGCGGAATAGGGCCGTTATATTTATTTTAGTATTTATATATATTTTAAGGCTTTAGAGACCCTTCCCACACTCTTGCAATGTTCTTAACAGTGTTCTAAACTTTCTAAAAAAGCACTGCGAAAGAGAACAGACAGACTGATGCTACGGTTACTGAGCCAATCAGCGCCCAGGGGTGGACTGGCCATTGGGAGCACGAGGAAATGTCCCGATGCTCCCGATGGCCAGTAGCAATGGGGAAAGACAGAGCCCCCCCACCCCTCCTTTCTCTTTCTAAGGCTGTCTGTCACAGCAGAGCAGAGACACAGAACAGGTAGGCGTGTAGGCGTGCAGCCTTTTGTGTGTCTCTGCTCTGCTGTGACAGACAGCCTCAGTAAGAGAAAGGAGGGGGGGGGGGGCTCTGTGTTTCCCCATTGCTACTACAGGGAGCAGGGATGAACAGATCAGATGAACAAATGTAGAATATCAGAGAAAATGCTTAGGTGGGAAAATTAGAGTGAATCGGTTTAAAAAGAGAGAGAGAGTGGCTGAGTGGGCCAGGCTACCGGGACATTTCCTGGTGCTCCCGATGGCCAGTAACAATGGGGAAAGACAGACCTCATCCCCTCCTTTTTTTCTGAGGCTGTCTGTCACATCAGAGCAGAGACACAACAGGTTGTGCGCCCACCTGTTGTGTCTCTGCTCTGATGTGACAGACAGCCTCAGAAAAAGAAAGGAGGGGCCTCCTCTGTGATCACTGAGCAGGTCAGGCCACCGGGAAATGTCCTGGTGTTCCCGATGGCCAGTCCGCCCCTCAGCACAATGCTTTGTTTATCACCTTCCATCAGTCAGCCAATCATGTGTCGTGTACAATCTTATGTTGAAAACCAGCAAAAGAGTAAGTATGCGAAAGTTGAACCACGAAATATTGAGGGACTACTGTATATTATATTATATTATATTATATTATATTATATTATGTTATATTATATTATATTATATTATATTATGTTATATTATGTTATGTTTTTCTAGGTCCCTCGAGGTCTGCCATACTTTGCAGTGGATTTTGGACTGCAGGGTGGGTTTGCTCATGTTATTGAGAATGAACAGAAGTTTCCCCATTACTTTGGCAAGGTTAGTCCCCATGTTAATGCCTAGTAAATACCATTCACATTTTCTGCTGCTCTCCTGTTGTAGCTTGGAGAATTGACCGTTTAGTCCTAAAGATTTACAAATCTTTAATCTTTAGATGATTTCTACTGAATATTTATTTGTAACAACTTGATTAAGCCATACTGCTTCACGTTAAGTTTGGGCACCAAGTTGGTCAGTTTACAAACAACAGATGTGTGTGTTTATTAAAGAAATAAGTATTATTCTGTAAAAGTAACAACCTAAGCTGCTGTCACACAGTATTGTATTTTCCAGTGTGCACTGACATTAAAGCTGGACACAATATGAGCTCCCAGAAGTTGAAGCCAGAAGAGAAACTACGTCCCCTCCAGTTGATCCCTGGACAAGTTTTAAGTTCCACCCCCTCTATGTAAACAAATACAACTTTGCTCTTAATTAAAAAAAAAAAACAATTCAAGCAGGTCATATTGATTCATGCAGTTCTTTTGTGTAAAACTGTTTTTTTAAGCATGTTTAGCTGTATTTAGTTACTTGAGACACCTATAGCTCAGTGGTCAGTGCCGTGGTCTTGTAAACTTCAGGCTAGAGGTTCAAGCCCAGGTTGTTACAACTTGTAACAGGACCAGACTCTGGGGACACTGGTCTCCTTTTGACTTCAACTTCTGGGATCTTGTATGAGGTCCAGTTTTTCTGTATACTGTCAATAGTGCTAATGTCTGAATTACAATCTTCTGTCAGAATCTAGCCACCATCTCACACACGGTCTTATCGTAACTCTTATTACTACTGTTTACTGTTCCTTTACTCTGACATACCTCAGTCTGGCAATTTCACCTTGTTTTCATGTAAAGTCTTTACAACAGCACCTTGCACATCATTTTACAAGTCCACATTGATAGAATGAAAGACAAGTTGTAAATGTTGGTCTTTCATAGGTACATATCATGGGGTGAATCTCATTGTGCAAGTAGGACAAGAAGAAATGTAGATGTTTCTTCTCACAACGCCACACATACGCTAACAGCACAAAGTATGCAGCAGCAACCACATGACATTGTGAACATTGTATGTATGTGATACACATGCTAAGAAGACAGAAAATGCATCACTGATACCCTTCTCTAACAAGCTGGGTCATTTCAGAGTTTCTGGAGATCAGACTGACAGATCAGATACATAAAAATATTGTGACATTTTCTTATAGCCGTGAATCTCAATACGCCACAGAAACTGAATGGGTTCAATAAAGCAAGTCCAGTGGGGTTGATAAAGATGCTTTAATGACACTTGACCAGTTCAGTCACATATTTGAACTCTTCACATCTTGCAGTATCAAAACGATCTTATGTTAATCTTGTTGTCACAAAAAATATTTGATGGTGTTTCGTATTGGAAAGTTTCTGCCAACGAACAAACAATAGCTTTACAGTAATAATAAAAAAATGATCCAGCACATTTCTCTTACAGGAAGTGGTTGGAGGAATGATGGACTTGGAGCCACGACGCTGGAGAAAGCCAATCAGAGAAAATTTTGATGATCAGAGGAAAAAAGTCCTCCAGTTTGCACAGTGGTGGAAGCCGTACGACTGTACGAAGACTGAGGGTTGACAGGAAACAATGAGAGTTGTAGCCCATGAGGAGCTATAAGAAGTACAAGCTGTGCTGCTTGAGGAGGAATACGTTGTTGGCATTGTTTTACCTTCAGTTTAAGATTTAATGTTAAATTCAATCAAGAGTCTGTAAATGATCAAACTTTTTGCTAAAATAAAATGAACCAATTGATGTTTTTGAGTTTGTTTTATATTTCTGACAACAGCTACAGTGCAACAGGAAAGTATTCACAGCACTTCTTTTTTCCACATTTTGTCACGGCCTTATTTCAAATTGTATTAAATTAATCTCCTGACTCAAAATTCTCCACACAATACCCCACTATGACAATGTGAAAAATATATATTTTTTTTAGATTTTTGCAAATTTATTAAAAATAAAAAATTAGAAATCACATTTCCGTAAGTATTCACAGCCTTTGTCATGAAGCTCAAATTGAGCTCAGCTGCATCCTGTTTCCACTGATCATCCTTTAGATGTTAAATGGAGTCCACCTGTTGTAAATTCACACCTGTCCATATATAAGCCCCCACAGATGACAGTGCATGTCAACTGTGGTACATGAAGTCAAAGGAATTGTCTAGACCTTAGAGACAGGATTGTGTTGAGGCACAAATCTGGGGAAGGATACAGAAAAATGTCTGCTGCTTTGAAGGTCCCAATGACCTCCACCATTCATAAATGGAAGCTGTTTGGAACCACCAGGACTCGTCTTAGAGTTGGCTGGCTGTCTAAACTGAGCGATCAGGAGAAGAGCCCTAGTCAGGGAAGTGGCCAAGAACCTGATGGTCACTCTGTCAGAGCTCCAGCGCTCCTCTGTGGAGAGAGGAGAACCTTCCAGAAGGACAACCATCTTTGCAGCAATCCACCAATCAGAGCTGTATGGTAGAGTGGCCAGATGAAAACCACTCCTTAATAAAAGTCACACGGCAACCTGTCTGCAGTTTGTTAAGAAAGCACCTGAAGGACTCTCAGACCATGAAACAAAACTATCTGGTCTGATGAGACAAAGACTGAACAGTTTGGTGTGAAGGCCATGCATCATGTTTGGAGGAAACCAGACCAATATCATCCCTACAGTGAAGCATGGTGGGGGCAACATCATGCTATGGAGCTGTTTTTCAGGAACTGGTACACTAGTCAGGACAGTGAAGATGAATGCAGCGATGTACAGAGACATCCTGGATGAAAACCTGCTCCATAGTGCTCTTGACCTCAGACTGGGACGACGGTCCATTTTTCAGCAGGACAACGACCCAAAGCACATGGCCAAGATCTCAAAGGAGGGGCTTCAGGACCACTCTGAAGGTCCTGGAGGGGCCAAGACATAGTCCAGACTTGAATCTGACTGAACATCTCTGGAGACATCTGAAAATGGCTGAGACAGACAACTCCCATCCAACCTGATGGAGCTTGAGAGTTGCTGCAAAGAAGAAAGGGTCAAACTGCCTGAAGACAGATGTGCTAAGCTTGAAGCATCAAGTTCAAAAAGATTTGAGCCTAATTTCTGACAAAGGTTCAACAACAAAATATAGAACGAAGGCTGTGAATACTTATGTATGTGTGATTTCTTAGTTTTCTATTTTTGATAAATTTGCAGAACTATTTTTTTCCACTTTGTCATAATGGGGTATCGTGTATAGATAGAATTTTGAGGAAAGATGAATTTAATACAATTTGGAATTTTCTTTCAACCTTTATTTAGACAGGTTAATCCCATTGAGCCTCGGGGACTCATTTACAAGAGAGACCTGATTTCTTTAACAAAGAGTGATGAAGCGGAAGTGATTGAATAAAGCTGTAAGATAACAAAGTGTGGAAAAAGTGAAGTGTTGTGAATACTTTACTGTTGCACAGTAAACGGCATGTTGAACACTACATAGTGCTCTTTTCTGTACACTATTCACCCATTTTTCAGGCCTTTTTGCTGAAACTGCTTCTTCCTGCTTCCCAATGTGACTTGTACTTTCTTTCTTTGTGGCCTCTTGGCACTTTCCACCTGTGGCTCAATTCTTGGAGGTTTTCGTGTCATCGCACTCATTTACAAGTATACACACACGCATGCATCTCAATCCTCACTCTGTCCCATGAGCAGTCTGAAGCATTGCCCTGTCAAGTGACCTCATCTTCTTTCTTTTTCAGCAAGACTGCTGGCTCTTTGATGAACTCACCACTTCAGAGGCTCACCTCATTTTTCAGGTTTCATCTCAGACGCTGTTTGTTAGACGCTCGCATGCAGCTGGCTTGTACTGTACTGGAAGCAAATGCATCACAGAAGATGAAAATGTGCTTTTACTAAAGTATATGTGTACAGGAATACAACAATGTGTACTTGTATGTGCCACATCCTTAAACCGCTTCCACAGTTTATAAGAAACTCCGCCCCCAGATTTTTTATTTCCAATCCAAAAGGAGTTAAATATTTCTAAAACCAAGTCCCGCAGGTAATCTGTGTATTCAAAGCAGTGTAGCAGCTGATATGTAATGTAGTGTTAACTCTAGCATCATGTGCAATTTGCTGCTCTTGGACCCTATTTGTTCCTTCAAAACCATCATTTGAGACAATATTATAGGTTATTTATAATTGTACAAGTGCCATAGAGGCACAGGTTCATGGGTAATGGCAGCCAAGCGGCGTGAAGTGATGTATGGTTATGGCCAATTAGATTGGCTCGGGGGACAGATTTATGGCCGAGTCAGCTGTTTGTTTTTCCCTGTCTGCCTCACACACACACACGCACACGCGTCCGTTTTCCTGTCAATCCTGACAATAAGTTGTTGAATGAGTGTCAGCATTTACACGTTTCCTCCAGCTTCACGTTCTGCTGTTTTTTTTTTAATCTTTTAAGTTTTTCTGCATCTGTTAAAGGAGTTGACGTATATCTGAAAGAAAGATGAGAGCTTAACGCCACATTTCTCAAAATTGGAGCCTACATTCTTGTTAACAGCTTTAGCCACATCGATCCCACGTCTATCAGATTTACAGCCACATGAATTTGGTTTAAATGTTTTGTATCAAAGGATAATCATTTCTCAGGAATCTAAACTTACAGAGTTATTTTATTACGTGCATTTATGAGCCTGGCCTTTTTATTTTAATGTTCAGTGAAGTACGATCTGTTTCCGGAACAGTCCAGATCTTTACATGTGAATGCAGTATTAGATTGGTGATGATGCTGTAAAACTATATGCTATTAATTTCCCCTCATGCACGTTGCTTTAATGAGCCTGTTTACTGCACAACTGTAAAGCGTTATCAAATAAGCAAACACGTCTAAATGATTAATAAATCACGGTTCGAGTAAACCTTTCTGTTGCTTTCAATTTGCTCAACAGTAAATTGAATTTCCTTTTAAGATTTGCCACAGTCTGCAAGTTTGTTGCTGTTAAAATGTCAATGAAACCAACAAATTAAAGTCGTAGCATCTCTTGGCCAGTATCCCAGAGTTTTAAACTAAGATAATCTTAAAAGGGAAAGGCTTGGAATTGGTCAGTTTTGGTCAAACCTTGTCAGTGACGTGCAAGATCCCACAAATAAATTGTGTTGAACATCAACTACATTCGCACCAAATTTTAGCTAATTGTCTGCTAAACTGACTTGAGTTACAGACATTTTAGTTTAGACCAGGGTCTGCAAGCTGCGGCTCTGGAGCCACATGTGGCTCTTTAGACCCTCTGAAGCGGCTTTTTCAAGATTTGACCAAAACTGACTATTTTTTTTTTTTTTTTTCATTTAGCCTTTATTTATCCAGGTTAGTCTCATTGAGCCACGAGAACTCATTTTCAAGAGAGACCTGTTTAGGGAGCACATGGTGGGGGTTAAGGGCCTTGCTCATGGGCCCAGAGTGGGGCGAATGAGGGTGGGGGCAAGTGTGGGTGTTTCACCTACCCCACCCACAATTTTGATGTTGTCGGGGCCGGGGCGTGAACCGGCGATCTTCGGATCACAAGCCCACCTCTCTAACCTCTGCGCCACCACTCCCCCAAAATAAAACTGAACTTAAAACTGAACATAAAACTGAACTTCATACAATTTTAAATCCACAACAAAAATGAGTCGTTTTAACAGTTTTCCTGTCATGTCCTTTGCAAATATGTGGATACTATAGTACTAATACACAGAGTAAATTATACTCTCTTTATCTTTATACTTAGTTTCTTTAAAGTAGGATACTCAATTACTCCACAATAAAAAAAAACACAAGCCTGCACAATTTATTGTTTTAGTAAAAACAATAAATATATAAACAATA